CAAACCAGGGGAAAAGGGACGCCACTTTCTGTCTCTGTCTCCTTAACCAAATAAGGGCAAAGAAGACACATGGGGAGCAAAACACACACAAAACAAGGAACAAAGTCTGACCGCAACACAGCACTGGCTTTTTTTTTTCAGCAACTTTTTTTTTTTTTAAATATACATTTATTTTTTTAATTCTGCATATTTATACCAATAAATTCATAATATCACTAATTTATATAATATTAAAATGTAATATTTTAACTATAGATATAATAAATGAGTCATTGCAACATACTGTATGTTCTTTCCATAACTTTCACTCACTATAACAATTTAACCAATATCAGCTTTATTTTTAAAATATACATTATTCAACTAGACGAGATTTTAAAAAATGTGTTGAATTGGCTTGTACAGCCAATTTGATTATACTCAAATGGTCTCGGTATTAACTGATTACATGTAATTTGGATTATGTAATTATATTCCAAAAACGTAGTACTTGTAATTAGATTGCACTTTAAAATCGGATTCCAGTTACTTTTTTATGGATTACTTTATTACAAATTGTTCACACAATGGCAGTAAATTACTCATAATTTATTGATTCTCCCTAATTCTTCATCTTTGAAATGTTTCCTTTCTAAAAAAAAAAAAAAATCTACTGTGCATCATATGAGCTTAGAATATTCACATTGTAGAATGGCCATATAAACGTCATGTAAATTAATTTGCGATCCATGCTTCTGAATTTGTGGACAAAATGTAAAAGTTGAATTACATTTTTTCATCTTAATTTTACATTTTTTATGATTTAATCAATTAATATCATTTCATCAACTCATAAACCCTCTGACGTTTATTCGTTTACCTTTGGGTAAACCCTGGAGTAATGTAATGATTAATGCAATTCGTGATGTTGATAACAATGGAATATATTTTATTTCTCTTTGCTTTTTATAACAATAATCCTATTTAAATCTATAAACAAAGTAATCTAAAAATAATCCAAAAGTAGTCAGAATACATTACCTAAAATTAGTAATTTCATTGTGACTAAATTACATCACTGACTATAATTTTCATCATGTAATTTGTAATCAGTAACAGATAACAATTTGTAAGTAATCTACACAGCACTGGATATTTATTACAATTTCAAATTCATATTCAATAGTAGAGTCAGCAATATGAGGTTCAGAGATGGTGATGCCTACCAATCTGCAGCAATCAAGCTTTCAACTGACTCTGTCACAAAGGTGTATTAATCACAAGCTACAAATGGTCCACACACCCTCAGTGCATATCAATGTGTTGTTGTTATAATACAAGTGCTGTATTTCTCACACTCATACGGTATCCACTATCCAGCTTTGCTGGAGCATGAGAGTTTTGTCCAGTCCTCTGGGAGCTGATGGATGAGATGTGATGCACAAGACCCCTCATGCTTGCAGCTTCCCTGTAGCTACAGCACTGCAGCTGCAACACTGCCTCTCACACTTCACTTTCATTTCTTTGCTTTTTTATCTTTTTTGGCTTCTTTTGAGGGGCACGTACACTTGCCTAAGATGCCTCTCACTGTGACATAAATGAAATTTGCAATTAAAAGGGCATACAGGAAATATTATGATCATTGTAATTCAGCGTATCATGTTGCGGGGTGCTGATAAATCTAATCACACCAATTTAAGGTGGAGAGCTTAGAGGAATACATTTTATTTCGGCTTTTCGTTTTTGTAATTATAATGCATAGAAATGCTTTAATTTCCTGCACAGAAGATGAAAGTGGTTATTTTCTTCATTTCTTTTTCCCTGATTGAAGTGCGTATGTGCACATGTATCCAAACAGTTCAGTCCTTATTTGCATGACGTCACACATTTGAAGTCAACATGAATCAGCATTTGCAATTTATTCCACATTCTGTAGTGTGATGCATTTACAAGTGAAACATTATTAAAGGAGAATTGGGAACTGATTGGATCTTGAAAAGTGTGACAGGTTGGAGGTTTGGCGCTGTTACGCAACACAAACGTCTTTAGTTACTGATGCCATTGTGGAAATGTCTGTC